TCCGCCTCTTTTGAGCGCATAAGATCGGCCGAAGAAAGCTATCTTGGCTGGCAACGGCGACCAGCGACGCGAGCGTTATTCCCACTTACATTAGCATGCACGCTGTTTACATGATCAGATGTTACGCGCCTGCCCCGTGTGTCGGACAACGGTCATCATGGGTGGAGACATCATATCCTCGACACGTATTCACACGACCACTAACCTACTCGACGCTACTAAATGCGTGCTATCTGCTGTTTAAACACGCGAATTCTAACCCCGGTCATATTCAGCCTGCAGCCTGAAAGGGCAGATTTAGTTAGTCGGTTAGCGTTAGCCTCTCTATGTATCTGTCCTTGGTGTAGCAGCTCAGCGACTGTCCGCTGTGTTGTGCTAACGGTGCGCGTGCTATTGAGCTTGTGGCTTAGAGATTTGCTCTTTTGTGATTTGTGTAAACCTGAAATAGCATTGCGTGCCGGTCCGCGTTTGCCTCCAGTGTGACCTTCCTGGGTGAGCACATAAGCTTCTTTTAAACGTGTTTGTTTTGCTAAATTTGTCCGAGATTTCTAGATTCTTGGCAGGTTTACCAACTTGATGAAGAAATATATAGCCGTTAAATACTCATGTTGAGCATGCAGGATCTTTTTCGCTGAGCGACAACATATACATATTTATTTATTTTTATTATATATAATTATTTATTCATTTGTTTATTTAGCAGCTATTCACTACGTTCTGGTGTATAGCATCACCCTTGTATAACCGTCATAGCGACTTGAGCATGTGACAATTAAAGCACGTGTTAAAAGTACGTAACCTACCATTAACTATTACCACCTTATGAATATTAATATAATGCCAAAATGTGAGCGATATAAATGCATAGCAAGGTTGAACGAACGGCAATAAATATATTCGTAAACTCGGTCGCGATTGAATTTCAACCGGTAAAATCATCACAGATTAAGTCGAATTAAGGTATTGTACGCACAGTACATGGGATCGGAATGCATGTAAACGCAGGATGGGATACTATGATGCATGCTGAGTATGAGTAGGTACGGCTACGGCTATGTTAATTTACATCAACCCCAACAACCATACATAAAACATGATCTTAAAGAGAGCATAAATATACAATTATTGTATTTTCACATTTTATATTTTTACATTCTGTGAAAGAAAGAAATATTACTAGCACTAGTTACGGCGACATTTGTCATTGAATTCCATGACGAATTCGAGTCAATTTCAAATAAGACATAATTGTAATAACAACACAATCAATAGGCTGAATCATCTTAGTCGACTCAATCATATAAATTTTTAATTAATCTATAAAATTGCAATCCATTGTGCATTAGCGCTAAATACGCCGAAGACGGGGTTAGAGAAGGCATACGGCCTAACCACCTTCTTAACACTATTCGTCCTGTAATTTTATGACCATGCTCATCTGATGGAAATTAGATAGACTGCCATTAATCCTCCACAACGTGACACACCTCCCACAGTAGCATGGCATGTTTACGGTGGGCGACAATGACACTGACGGCGTACGAGAACCTAAACGACTGCAAACTATGCTAATTGAGGTACGCGCACTAGAAATGCGACTGGGATTGATGCACGGACGTCATGGCGGCGCTCGAGGCGAGATGATTCGTCTATCTTCAAATCACTCAACCTTGTTGAATTTAGTAGAGAATCTTCACGCTGTACGATAACGTCGTGAAAATTGCAACGCCTATTAGTCGCGGCAAGTCACTAATTACGTTTATATTAGGCCTATATATTTAACGACCATGTTTACAAATAAGGATAGAGCGAGCCCAAGCTGCTTACATAAGCCGTGTCTATAATTTTTCCGCGTAGCCACAGTCCGTATAAGCGTATATGACGTATACACACACGCTCGTATACACTATCTGGGAACTGATCTAGCTGTGATATTTGTGCAAGTGCGCTGGGGCATATTCTCAGTGAACGTATGAACTTCTCGAGGAATGGTGTGTGTGTGTGTTCGTGTGTGTGCGTGTGCACTTATATGTCTGTGTATGTCTGCGTGGTATTAGTACAGTGGTATTGGTACAGCACTATTAGTACAGCAGTATTAGTGCGGCGGTTTTAGTATACACGCGTTGGGGGAAGATCTCGGACACCCATGACGTAGCTGGCTGCCCAACAGACAGGCGACCGACATTCCGTCACGCACCTGAGAGCGAAATCTTCACAACATCATCAGACGCCCGCATTCACGGAAGCTGCGCGTCTTCTGCACGCCGAGGTTGACTGTGCGTAACAATCGGATAGCGATAGCGATCTTTCTAAGCTCCATTTGAGAAAGCTATCCATCGACGGATCGTCATCAATGCCGCAGACGCCCTGTTCGCCACGCGACGTGCGTGTGCGCGTGCGCACGCAACACCGGAAGTCGCCGATCTCCTGTTTTCATCGACAGCGTATATCTGGCGCAGCCGTGATTTCCGTAGCGGCCGTGAGGCGTGGGGAGCACCAGGTTGTTCCCACGCACGCAGCGGTTATACTCAATAACAACAGCTATCAGCGTGACACGATGACAATAGGTATTGAGCGTGTCACACGCCCATGCCGCCTCACGCACACACACACACACACACACACATGATGCACACACACACACACACACACACACACACACACACACACACACACACACACACACACATCGATACTACATCTATCGTCTGCGCACGGACAAGTTCACACACGTCGTGCGCATGTTGTAGAGTGCACGCGCATCCACTCATCACTTCACAACGGAACATAAACACGTAGTCAATCAGGTCGCGTGCAATTATCGCGTGTAGCCATCGTATAGATATTGTATATTTGCTTATATTACTTTATTTGGGTACTAGCGTATGTGAACGGTAAATGATTGCCGTACGTTAAATGCGTGAATAAATCTATAACGCCCTGCAAACGTAGTTGGAGCGGAACCACTTCGAATTGATAGCGCAGCCTTCAATAAAGTTGAGCTAAATAAGTGACGTCACCACCGCCCCCGGGCGGACGAAGTCGCTAAAACTGTGTTCGCTTGCTTCATCGTGGTCGGCTCCACAGTCAAGTGTGCTGTGAGTGTCGCAACGTGAGTTGGCATTCGTGAACACCAGGTATAAGCATCTCGTCGCTCTAAACTCACGCCGCTCTGACGGTAACACCTCACACGCAACAGAGCGGTGCCGACACGATATCACACTTCCCGCGAATTCTCACAAACTCGGCTGATTTCAGGTGAAATTTTACAAGGAATCTTATCGAGTCGGATTTACACCCGCGACTGCTGCTGCATTCGCTCTACGGAATCACAGACGATATCCGCAACTGCAGCGGCATTCGCTCTACGGAATCACAGACAATCTCGAGATGGTACGTCTGTAGGTTTCGGTGAACTGTGTGTGAGATTCCTCATCATCAGCAGCAACACAGCGAGGACCAGCGGGCGATGACCGGAAGACGATGACGATGAACGGACACAACTCGCCACGAGTAGCCTGGGACGGTACGTGAATCTAGCCGCTGTAAACTATTATATGAAAACTATATACTATCACTACAGAACTATCACTCAATAACGCTTTGAGGGTCATCTTGTATATGGTCGCATGGGTGGAAAGTTCAATTAGCATGTTGTTTTCTTATCTATCTATCTATCTATCTATCGTCACAAGTCGTCATTTATGGCCGTTGCAAGCGCTGCTTCTTAATCCGCACGCGTGGCCTATATTCCCGGCGAGGGCCGGCGCGCAAACAACGCAGTTACAGCGCCATTTAGAATACATCGCCCCGAGTAGAGAGAGAGAGAGAGAGAGATGGAGATGAGAGGGAGAGAGCCGGAGAGAGAGAGAGACGAGAGAAGGAGAGAGAGAGACCGAACGTTGATCCCACAGCGCGAGAGGAGCACAGAGCGAGAGCCTGATTAGAGAGAGAGGACGGATTCCAGAGCGTGATTGGGGGAGGGAGAGCAGCGCCAGAGGCGAAGAGATGAAGAGAGAGAGAGAGAGATGAGAGGAGGAGAGAGAGAGAGAGAAGAGAGTAGTAGAGAGAGAGACGAAGAGTGAGATGGAGATTGAGAAAGAGAGACGCGAGAGGAGAAGATGAGCACGAGAGAGACGAGAGTGAGAGCAGAGAGAGAGTAGAGATGAGCTATGAGAGAAGGAAGAGCAGATGATGTCAGTCAGAGGAGAATGTGATGAGCGGGCGGCAACGTACTATATGATTTACGTGTTCGAAATTTCGAATCCGCCCTGTCTTCCCCTGAGCGCTACGACGGGGTGAAATGTTCACGTATTGACGACGCACTCCGGACAGGCGAAACGATGCCTAGATTGATGTCCAGTGTACAGAGTTCATGCGTGGACAAAGTAGTGTTCTCATCTTAATAACGATGCTTCGTTCGATGAAATGATGGATAGATGACACCGCATCCATTCCAAGGCGCGAGACTCTTTAACGTTCAACAGCAACCACCGTCACTAGAATATCGTTCAACATAACTCCTCTTCCGCAAAACTATTTGAACAATAAACTTGAATTGCGGGAGTCACCGAACTTGAGGATAGGAGTAAAAGCGCACGCGACGTTATTCTTGGTGTGATAATGTAATTCAGAGCCTATTGAATTCAACAGATGTGCATAATGAACATGATGATCATGATGAAACATGATGAACATGATGATTCATGGATCATGATTGATCATGATGAAACATGATGTATTCATGATGAACATGATGAGTCATAATGAACATGCATGCTTCATGAACATGATGATCTATATGACACATGATGTATCATGATGAACATGATGATGATGAATTTGGATGGATGGCAGAGGAACACTGATGGGCAGTAATGAGTTTATGAAGAACTTCTAATGTTCATCGTGTAATCATGCATCAGCAGCTGAAGTGCAATAGACTAACAGATGACAGCGCACGATCCGTGATTTCAGTTTTAACGGACTTCGTATGTACGAGTATGCCATCATCGTCCTTATGCGTAAATAATGTACACGTCTTTAGATGGAGATTATTAAGAAAAATGAGGAGTGCTAGATTTCAAATACAAGCGCGTTCACACTATAGCTAGCGAAACGTTTCCCATATTAGTCCCCCCCCTCGCTTTCTCTTCCTCTCTCTTCCTCTCTCTCTCCTCTCTCTCTCTCTTCCTTCTCTCTCTCCTCTCTCTCGCCTCTCTTTCGTTCTCTCTTTCTCCCTTTGTCTCTAATCTATCTATCTATCTATCTATCTATCTATCTATCTATCCTATCCTATCTATCTATCTATCTATTCTATCTATTCTATCTATCTTATCTATCTTACTATCTATCTATCTATCTATCTTTTCTATCTATCTTATCTATCTATCTTATCTATCTATATATATCCGCTATCTATCTCTTCTCTCTCTCTCTCTTTTCTTTTCTCTCTCTCTCTCTCTATATATATATATATTCTTCTCGTTCTCTCTCTCTTTCTCTCTTTCTCTCTCTCTCTCTCTCTTTCTTCTCTCTCTTCTCGCTCTCTCTCTCTCTCGTCTCTCTCTCTCTCTCTCTATCTATCTATCTATCTTATTCTATCTATCTATTATCTATCCTATCTATCTATATATATATATATATATATCATATATATAATATATATACAATATATTTATCGCTTCTCTGCTCTCTTCTTTTTCTCAGCCACTCCCTCACTATCATTCCCTAATGACGTCAATATCCCAATCGATTGCCACGATCAGCTGGCTACCGTTATATTACAATTCATTCGTAAAGCACGGCACTACTGCGTCGGAACTCATAGAACACATGTGTGAATGCAGTTGGAACTTTCTAAAGTTGCCAGCATGTAAGCGTTATATGCGCTCGCGTTTGTCGTCTTTACCGTCAACTCTACGCGTAAGCGCGTCGGGCTTAGTATATTAAGGGAGGAAGCGGACAATGTCCATTTATCGCAGGCCTCCGCGGGACCTCGATAAAACAATGTCAGTGTGGGCGATGCCGCTGTTATGTACGTTTGTTCACACTTAGCTCGGCCACGCGCACAGGCGCCACGCGATAGTTTGCCGTACGTGTCAGTTGGGTCAGTGTCGTAAAAGCCAGAGGCAGAACGCCCAAGTGGTGTGTAGCAGTATCACTGCTAGCAGCGGTGGTCTCTCCTGTATATATTACTTGCGCTTAGAATGTCAGAAAATCTGCAATGTTTTGAAGTTTCAAAAGTTTTCGCAAGAAGGGGAACGAACGCAGAAGAAGTCCGATGGAAAGGTAACACGATTACTGCAAATATACATTCAAGATTACGCGCACCGATGAACATGGTGCATGGGTACGTACATTCACGTATCACGCTGCGCAACACATGCCACACACACCTAGACACTGCACGCTTCGCATCGCAATACACGCACGCATTCGGTATTTGAACTATTTGTAGTTATGCGATAGTAATATTACTGTTAATTACTTAACGATTATGTGTTCGCAGACGCACATATCGCTCTGTTGTCATTGTTTATGCGGTATTGTCGACGTGTTATATTAGTAGAAGCTCTGAAATTAACAAGTGCTTTTTTGTTTTTAATAATACTACACGTACGATGGGATGAGACGAGACTTGTGAGATGCTCAACTGGTGCACAACAACAACAACTTTTTTACAACAACAACAACAACACACATTACTCCCTTGCGTGTGCGTGCGCGCGCGCTTGGGTGCCGTGCGTGCATTGTGCGCGTGCTTTGCGTGCCCACCGTTGTTGTGCGCACTTGTGTGTGTGTGTGTGTGCGTGCTTGCGTGCGCTATGTGCTGTCTGCGCGCGAACGCGGGTCACGCCGTGCATGGTCGCGACGTGCTTGCGTGCACGTTTATGTTGTTGCGCATGTTATTGTTTGTGGTGCGTGCTTTGCGTGCGTAATGTGCCAGCTTCGTGGAGTGCGTGTTTGTCGTGTGGTGTGTGTGTGTGTTGGCGGTGGTGTGCGAGTGTGTGTGTGGTGTTGTGTGTGTGTGCGTGCGTGCTTGCGTTGCGTATGTGCGTTCGTTGAATGCGTGAATGCGTCCCGCACGTGTTTGTGTTGGTGGCCCTGTGTGTGTGCCTGTGTGTGTGTGTGCGCATGTGTGTGTGTGTGAGTTGTGTGTGTGTGCTCGCTGTGTGTGAGAGAGAGGAGAGAGAAGATGTGTGTTGAGTGTGTGATGTGGTGTTGGTAGTGTTGTGAGTGTGTTGTGTGTGTGTGTGTGTGTGTGTGTGTGTGTGTGTGTGTTGTGTGTGTATGTGTGTGTGTGTGTGTGTGTGTGTGTGTGTGTGTGTGGCAGTGCTGCGTGTGTTGTATTATATTTTATTATGAAACTAT